GCGGAAATGAGTGTTCCCATAACATATGTACATATGTAGAATAACATACGGACAATGGACTGAACTGGTTGTGGGTAAAACGACAGCTTGATTGAGTCGCGCGCACGCACACTACTGGACCTCATTCACTTTTAATCCTTGACCGACACGTTGTTCGACCAGATATCCATCGTATAACTGAACCCTTAATCGTTCAATCCGTCAGCTAGCGACATCGATCCAATATCACGCTATTTAGCTTCGCAGGTGAGCAGAATTCCAAGCGTGACAAATCCCGGGCGAGGTGTGACAATGACTAGAGTCAATGTGATTCTGTCTGACAATGACACTGCTATAGAAATTGAAGAACACGATAATACGAGGTTAATTAACTGTTTGGTAACACGAGTCGATGACCTTCGTAATTTTAATCTATGCAGACACTATTATTTGCTGTTCAAGTCAATAGATGGCATTCTAAATAATGGATGCTATGTCGAAGTAATTATACATAATGCAATGTAATAATATGTATTTAATGATATCGGTTCAAAACAAACAAACAAACAATTTGTAACTCATAATGTAGCCTTGACAGATTACATGGTGTTTTAAATGCTAGAAAATCTGGCACACTGTAGCCGTGGCCGCTCTCAATGTCCCAGCTATTACACTTAGTCAGATCGCACCAATTTGATTACCAAACATCAATGAGATTTCAGTACCGCAGAGTAAGCATAATACATATTTACATAAGTAATTATTATCATGGTGCGAAAGTCTCACGATCCTGAGTGGTGGTTGCCAACCTTAATTAGTTTAAAAGCGTACTTAGATCACCGACGGAGGCGACAGATTTTGTGTTCACACCATCTAAAATGTCGGGATCAAGCTGTAATAATGTGTAAGTTCTAATCTACGTATAATATTTTAAAGAGGTTTTTGTTAAATACTCAATATTATGCTGTACATATTTATTCAATGACTTACGTAGTTTCTTAGTATAAAAAATAATAATTTAATTATTAATTATCTACAAAATTATTTTTATGTCGCCACATAGTATTTAACTATATACTACAGAATGTATCACCGTCATATAAATTATCAAAAAATAAATAAGTCCATAATTACTAGCGTCGTCTGTTAGATACTGCTCCCCACTCAGCGGGCAATTGAGCTCAGTGACCTTTTTTGTATCCATATTTCTTATGGTGCTCGTGGTCGCCTTTCTTGCCATGGTCATGATGATGTTTATAGTGCGAATCGTGTCCACCGGCCTCTTTGTGTCCTTTGTGTTCATGGTGGTGACCACCTTTTTCATGAAAACCTTTTTCACCATGTTCTTTTTCGTGGTGGTCACCATGATGATGACCTTTGTGGAAGTGGCCACCCTTCTTATGACCATGTTCTTCGTGGAAACCTCCGTGTTTCTCTTCGTGGCCTGAATCTCCCTCTTCATCAAAGAAGTGTTTATCTTTTTTGAATTCATCAAGTTTGTGAATTTCATGATGTCCTTTGGTTGAATGGCCCTTATCGTAATGCCCCTTTTCTTCGTACTTATGCCCTTTTTCACCCTTTTCACCTTTATGGAACTCATCATAATGACCATCTTCATGGTGATGTTCTTTTTTGTGACCACCATGGTCATCGTACTCTCCTTTGTGGTGCTCCTTATCGTGATGACCCTTCTCACCCTTCTCGTGATGATGATGTCCCTTGTACCCCTTCACCCCTTTTTCTTCATGGTCGTGATGGTGATGTGCGTGATGCTCCTTACCACCTCCTTTTTTATACTCATGGTTCTTTGGTGCTTCTTTTTTATGATCAGTCGCAGCAGGTTGCTGATCTTTAGCTTCTAGGTCTGCACTCTGTTCAAGACGTCGCGCGGGTAAACGTCGTGAATGCACAACTGCCAAAATCGTTAGAAAACCTAACACTAATAGCACCCTCATAGTGCGAGGCTTCTGTTATCCCGCGCCGCTGAGACTGTACTGTACTCTTAATATTGACAACATCATTGATGGTGCAGCAGTTTTATATAAGGCATTGTGTAAGCTTTGCTAATCGCTGCGTCGACCGTCTCACGTCAGACTCGGCGGCCGCGAGTTGCAACAAGCGCTAGTTAGGGATGCTGTGTACTAAGTACTCTTATATATAATTAGTTCAAGGACATTATCATAAATAATGTAGGTACGTCTTATATTTATAAAACGTTATTTTAAATAAGAAAAATATTATAAACGGTTCATTATTTGAATCAAATTTATTTTTGTGGTCATTTGTTTAGCCTTTTACTTGGTTTATCTATCTATCTATACATATAATAAAATTGTAGAAAAGTGCTGTCTGTACATTGAAAATAAAAATAAAAAAAATAGCAGGGGCTATTGTTATGTCGATGTCGAACCCAAAAATGTAACTAACTTTTTTTTTGTCTGTTTGTCTGTTTGTCTGTTCACGCTAATCTCAGAAACGGCTTATCCGAGTTGGATGCGGTTTTCACGAATATATTGTGGTATGCTTCAGTTATGCTTTAGTGTTTGTTTCATGTCAATCGGTTCATAAATAAAAAAGTTACGTCAAATTAAAGAATCACGTCGAACACTATCTATCTATACATATAATAAAATTGTAGAAAAGTGCTGTCTGTACATTGAAAATAAAAATAAAAAAATAGCAGGGGCTATTGTTATGTCGATTTCGAACCCAAAAATGTAACTAACTTTTTTTTTGTCTGTTTGTCTGTTCACGCTAATCTCAGAAATGGCTTATAAATATATATATATTTAACAGGGTGCGGAAAAGGTGATAGTGGTTTTATTCCTCAGATTCCTCTCATTCCAAAAAATTTTCCGTTTATTTTTAAACGAATTCAGTTTCCAGTGAGCCTATGTTTCGCCATGACAATTAATAAAGCTCAAGGTCAGACTCTAAAAGTTGTGGGTATAGATCTAAGTATCAGCTGTTTTTCGCACGGTCAATTGTATGTGGCTCTGTCCCGTGTTAGCAATCCCAGCAGCCTGTATGCTTTCACCCCCGATGGCCATACGTCTAATATTGTATATAGAGAAGCATTACAGTAAAGTAGAGAAGCATTACAGTAAAATGACTGTGATTATGATCCAAATCTAAAATAAAAATAAGTAAATATTTAAAAAAAAAACGCTGCTCATAGTCACTATTCTACGCGAACGAAGTCGCGGGCACAGCTAGTGATAGAATAATATTAATACTTTTTATATGCAAATCTGTAAAATATTTTATCTGGCTATATTAGTTATAATAACTAATTGACATTGTGTCAATATTTCTTACCAAAATAATTTTAAAGTTCAGATCAATGTTATAAAATAATAAAATTAAATCGCGAAATCTTCCATTTTTACTCAACCTTCTCACCTTTATGAAACTCACATAATGACCATCTTCATGGTGGTGTTTCTTTTTGTTACCGCCATGGTCATTATACCTACTCGCCCTTGTGGTGCTCTCCTTATCGTGATGAACCTTCTCACCCTTATAAATTCAAATTGTTTTTATATTCCACAGCAGACACAAAAATCGATTTAGATAGAGTCTTTAGTATATATTGTAGATGAAAAAAAAATTGAAAAGGGCACAATGTGAAAATGAATAGGTATATTACTTTACCCACTAACAAGTCTTTATTATTGGTGATTCGATTCGCGGTAGACCGCTAACCTCAAGATTCAACCACTTGTTGCGCAGGATAACATTAACCACACAACGCATTGTTCATTATTATGAAAATATTACTAACTCGAAACATACTAATCTCTGAACAAAAATACAGTTGAAACTAAACTCATTCGTGAGAGCCATATTCGTAGTGGCAGTGTGCCAACACAGCTAACTGCATTTCTTGTCATTTACAAGCGACGAAGTCCAATATCGTGCAAAGTGGAAAATAATTATCATAACCCTTTTTATTGACTTAAAAATGATATCTGAAAAAAAGAAATGTATGAAATGTAAAAAAGAAATTCAGAGTTTTCTCTAATCTTTGTACAGATATTTTAAAAAATACTCAGTCACCAGAAACATTTCTTAAATTTTAAAGTTGTTCATTGACCAGTTTTTAAATCTTAAATTATACACAGATTACGTTAATAGGTATTTAAATTAATAAATAGTACTAAAATAAACCTGATTCCACAATGTCTACTGAAAAAATCATGAAAGTTGGTAAACGTCAAGGCCGCTAAGTGTGCTGTGAATTGAAAGTTAAAGTTAATTAAGTGGGTCCTTTTTCAACAGTTTCAGTAGCTCATTAAATTACAGTTTAAATAGAATACTTCCTTATGTCAAATACAATAAACATCACTCGTTAGTAGGCAATAATACTTGTACATTAGATCATGTTGTTTATGCATGATTATTTTTTCTTTCAACGGAATTGGTATCACAAATAAAGCTTTGTGCCCACTTTAGATGCTCAATAAAGCGTGTAACATCGAAAATAATCGTACGTGTTATTGAAAATATCCGACCGGTTAACTGGCTACTATTATTTTGCCGAGTAATTTTCTGAAATGAATCACAACGTTAGTTGGCTGAGATGCTCTCTGCTGCTAACATGCTTGGGACTATTTCATCGTGGCTTTTGTTAGTGTATTGGTACAACAAGCTGTGGCTATTGAGAAATGTTATCAATTTCAGTGACTGCAAGTGTTTTCTATAGGAAACGGTTGATTGCAACCACGACTAATTCGTTGCCCAGTAAAATGTAGGCCAATCTCGGGCAGCGCTCTAGTTTCTCAACGCTGAGTTACTTATCTCGTCGGGAGCTGTTGCCAACGGACCAACGCCAACTATTTTATGTAACTTTGTTGTCGAAACGTGCTGTGAAATTGATAAGTTTGTTTTGTATCTGCACCCAATTGTATACACAATATTTTTTTGTAATTCAATAATAAGGACTTTTTTCTTAATTTGTTTTGATCGCAAGTCTAGGCCATTGAAATAGGTACACAAAAGCGTTGTTTATGTTTCAAAAACATTTATTTTTATTTATAACAAAACATCACAGTCAACAAACCTTAACACAGTATGAAAGCTTAATTAGATACAACTAAATAAAGACTTCATTAACTCGAATCGACAGATTTCAGTCTCAGAGAAACATTTACTTGTGTCCCTTCTTGTGGCCCCAGTGCTTGTGGTGCTCATGGCCACCCTTCTTTCCATGGTCATGATGATGGTGATGATGGTGGTGGTGACCATCTTCCTCATGATGTCCCTTATGGTCGTGGTGATGTCCTCCTTCTTCGTGGTGACCCTTCTTACCATGCTCATGCTCATGGTGGCCATGGTACTTGTGTCCCTTGTGGAACTCTCCTCCTTTTTTGTGTCCATGCTCCTCGTGATGCCCACCGTGGTGCTCATGGTGACCGCCGTCATGATGATGATCATGGAAGTGCTTTTCTTTCTTAAACTCGTCGTGCTTGTGTACGCCGTGATGACCCTTGGTGGAGTGTCCTTTATGGTAGTGACCCTCTTCATGATGACCATGGCCCTTATGGCCCTTCTCGCCATGATGGTGTTCATGGTGATGTCCATCGTCATGATGATGATGCTTTTTGTGTCCACCGTGTTCGTCGTGGTGACCTTTATGTCCTTCATGGTGGTGGTGACCCTTCTTGCCATGCTCGTGGTGATGATGTCCTTTGTATCCTTTGTGTCCCTTTTCTCCGTGGTCGTGGTGATGATGAGCATGGTGTTCATGGCCGCCACCCTTATCCCACTTGCCACCATGATGGCTGGCTGCTACTTCCAAATCTGCATTACGTTTCTCCCGAGTAGTTCTACAGCTTACGTATGCTAACGCCGCTAGGGCTACGCAGCAGACCAATGAAGCTCTCATATTTCCAGTGCACTGATCTGATCTAAGCAGTTGACTGATACCTGTGTTCGCGACTGCTTAGTTTTATACTGGTAGCCCGTTTAGTTGGTATTGTAGAAAAATTGTGTAAAGCTCCAAGGTTGCAGCTACATGGCGTAGCTGTCGTACAACGGGTTGCGCAGTTCCACCCGGTGTCTCAACTTAAAAATTGGTACTGTACTCACTAGTAAAATCATATATACCTACATACCTATGACCCTACATGACAACTATCTCAAAAATCACAACAAGGTATCATAGAAACATTGATGGGATTTGGGTAATAGACATAAACAGAACCGTTTTTGTTACCAAAATCGATCATACAAATTAGTGCTAGTCACCTGACTGTATAGGACAGGTGTACAGGTGTACTATTCCATAATTATGTTCTTTTCAATACTACAAAATTTGAACCCAACCATATTAAATCTTAAAATATATTTTTGCTGTCATTTAGTGGGCTATTGAAAGCAGGCCTGTATTGCGATATTATTAAGAAAGCGGCTTGGGAAATAATCGGAAAAGTGTAGAACTATGCAAGAAAGTGGTTCAACGGTGAAACGGGCAATAATAACAATTGAATCTCAATCCATAGAATATCAATTAAATCAAGTGTATGGAAAATTATGTACATAACATATAATAATACCTATTGGAAACTGTTTTTTTTAGAAGAAAATAGACTGAGCACAAGGTACTAGGATTTGGCGGTTCGGTCTAAGAAAATAGGTATACCTAGGTATTACTATAGATAGATATATAACATTTTCTAAAAAAATGTGTCGGTATAGTCCAGAGTTGATTTTGGAATCGGGCTGCTAATTAAAAATCATGGCATTTGGGTTCTTATACCGCTATAAAACAATCCCACGGCCCAGTAGCCGCCATTAGCACCTTGAAGAGCCCCAGGTCCATTAAAGTGACAACTCTGATGCTCCATTCTGCACCGGGTATTATCCATCATGGAAATTGGTATTTACATAATAAAAAAAAATACCAGGTGAAATGGTGGCCAAACGACATTCTATTAAATACAAAAAAATACTCATACCTGTAAAAGAATTTCGATGATCTTCATCTATAGAAGGGAATTGCGGAAATAATTTACGGAACACTTTGGTACAGCCGTCCATGCCCTTATACTAAGTGGTGACGATTCTGTCGTAATTATATACATTAGTAGATTTTTCACGGCTCCTACTCTTCAAAGTCAAGTCAAAGTCAAGTCATTTATTTCAATTAAACCATAGTTTGGTACTTTTGAAACGTCAACAAATACAAAATAAATAATAGTCTGTCAGTCAGTCCGTCAGTGAAGCTAGGTGAAGCTAGGTGCTCATACCAAAACGTAGATTCGAATGGAATGTCTTTTCACTAGTGTCGGCAGAGACGAGTAAGGGACGGCAACGTTCTCTGAAGAACCTGTACCTTTTGAACTACGATCTTCAACCCGCCTGCCAAGCGTGGATACTTATGGATAACCTTCCCATGGACAGTAAACAATCCACAGTGGACTGTCACTATGAAATTCATGTTCTTATCTTATAAACTGATTGTATCTACTCAACTGAATCATTAGTTCTATTGGCCTTTTTATTTATATATTATTTTTTTATTTATTATTTTAATTTCATTTTTCTAATCATGATTTTACTACACGAAATACTCATAATTATCAAAAAATCCATAAAGTTGTTGTTCTAAAGCAGTCCGAGTCAAATGGTTAGGGACATCTCTATTAAAACGGACTTATTTCACCATTGCATCCATACATCCTTCCATCACTAAAATGTTAATATAATTTAGTTGCAGTTCATGGTTTCCTGCTTTCCTCGTTTCTGGGTTATCGCAAGTTATGAAAAAGCCAAATGATTTTTGCTTAATTTATTGATACAATCCTCAACAACAATTACATGAGCACTACATGATGCTATTACGGTTAATAAGTTTAATCTAAATACCTATTGAATTTAAACTAAATATATTAATTCGTAAAGTAGTTTATATTATAAATCACAATATATACCAACTTTCAGTTGACAAAATTATTATTTAACTAAAGGAACATATCTAAATATCTTTCGTAGAAACGCATTAGTGTTTCACACCGTAAAGTTAAAATTTACTTCAGTCCTAATTATGGTTTCACAAAAACATATAAGGTGCAACGATCTCAACTTACATCGTAGGCACTGTGATTTACTGTTTCAACTACATGTTTATGTATTATAAATGAAATAATCGTGCCAAACTAACGTATCAACCGTTACACAAATATATGATTTGATTACCAAATAGTAGCATTTTTGGTTCCAATACAAATGGTTTTTGAAATTGTTTAACTTTAAAAGGTTATTACTTTCACGCTGTGGTTAATGCTTTCGGATGAACAAGTACTATAAAATAATAATGGAAGCACAAACTGAAATCAAAATAATTGGTTGAAATTTTTTTATTACTGATCAGACTACAAACTCAACTAAACTCGTCTTGGAACAACTTACATAATCTGAAAATAAAACTAAATATCACCACGCCATACACAAACATTTATCTAAAATTTGCTTGAAACGCTAGATGCCTACTATCTTTATAAATATATCATTAAACACACTCAAATAAAGTTACTAAAACAAGTTACATATAAAGCAAAGACCAATTGGTGTAAAAAATATTTATCTTATATTATTATAATATCAAATACTAGTTTAATTTTTGAATACTTTAATTAGAATGTTGCAATATTATGTTTTAAAGATTATATTATTTGAATATTGCCATTATTTTATACCAATCATAAATAGGCAGCCTCTTACATTTTCTTTCATTCACCCCAATCTATAAAACTAATATTTGAAATTCATGCAATTATTTAACATATAATATTAAAATAAAATATATTATTGCATGATAATAACGAAAATCACGACGTACGACACTTTTATCTTTCAATGAATAAGATCAATCAATCTTGATATAATAAAATACTATTTATTCCATAGAGTAAATATTAATGTCTTGAAAAAATATGCTTCAAGAGATCAGTTCTACATTATGAGCTGACATACTATAATGTTACATATCTATGTTAGAAATAACTAAGTTCTTATACTCAGTAAGGTCAATAAGTCTGGCGAGCACTATGGTTTTGTTTCGCTTAGCAGTCAAGGATAAAAGCTACTGATGTTGAATAAATAGATAATTATTTCTAATTCCGCATGTTCATAGGCGAGTGCGTGAGTAATAATAGTGCAAAGTTATTCTCAACATATTCCCAAACACCGCAACACCAACAGACTCAGAGCTCTTCAGTGGTCTAGTTGAGATGGAAACCGCGCTCATTGGTAGCTGCCAGGAGCCTTTCTCGAAGTACCTCTTTGCATGAGTACTCCGGCAATTTCAAGTAGTGAACGCAAGTGTTCACAGAGGGGTAGGAGCCGTCTCCGGCATCGACCTGCGAAAATACATTTCATATACATACTTCAGACTTTAAATTCAAAACTTTTACGGCCTCAAGATTAAAATTTATAGATCTTACCTTGCGCACTACAGTAAGTCGCGGATGCAAGTTAGCAAGTCCTCCTGGTGGCAAGCTACTACAGCCCGTGGCAAACTGCAGGAACGCTTTACGTTCGCGGAGAGACATCTCTACCAGAACATCCACGAGACGAAGGAATCCGGGACTGTAAATAAAATTGTATTGTTAAAATGTCTCCGTATACTAAAATTGACAATGGACATATTATGAAGCAGTTCTAGAAACAAGTTCCAGGGAGCGAGGTGAGCACCTGTCGCGCGTGTAGCCCAGCTTGGGCTCCGTGTACTGCAACAGATGGTCCCTGGTCCACACGGGCCCGCGCTCCCCGCACAGCAACAGACGCAGCTCGGCGGCGCAGAAGGCGCGCAGGCGGCGCGGCGGGAACACGGCGCCGAAGCCGCGGCGGAAGGCGTTGGTCTGGCGGCGCACGCCGGCGCGCACGGCCCAGCGCGCGGCCGCCTTCGTAGGCGCGCGCGTTGTGCGGCCGCACGTCCAGCAGCTCGCCGCCGTCGCACAGCGGCTGCAGCGCGGCGCGCGCGTCGGGGTGCGCCGCCACGTGCGTCATGCTCAGCGCCAGCTGCTCGAACGTGGCGCCCTCCACGCAGATGGCGGCCACGCGCCGCGACCGCTCCTCCTCGCTCAACGTGCCGTCGCGCATGATGCTGTCGTACTCGTCCGCGGCCGCCAACACGCTCTGCAGGAACCTGCGCACGGAAACGTTTGTTACTACTCTCTAGATACTTGCCGTACTAGTTGACTAAAGGCACATAATAAAGTCATCATTCAAATGTAATCAAATTTAAAATCCAGAAATATCTTACCGATGCCTAATAGGATCGATCTCCTCTAAGCATTCATTGGGTAGTTCTTCGCCACACATGATACGTAAGAACGGCTCCGAGAGCGGTAGATCGACGAGTCGGCCATCTTGTAAAACCTGAGAAACGACAAAGACTTCCGATAGTCTCATCTCTTATCTCGTAAAGTACTAAGTCAAATAAGAATTGAATTATACCTTAGCTAAAAATACTCCTAAGAACCAGAAATATTTGCAAACTTTATCACAGATCGGTGAATCTTGCGGCAAGGGTGACGGGAATAAACCACCTGCACGTGTCACATAGTATCCAGGAGGTTTTTCTGGAAATAAAAAAGAGCAGTTATATAAGTTTTTACACATCAGTATGATGTATTGTAGAGCAGGTAGCAATGAAGTAGTGTTGTACCGTCGGGTAAGACGAGATGGTGCGGCGCGCTGTCGAGGTCCGAGTGCGCGGCGTCGCCGAGCCACATGCCGAGGTCGGCGCGCTGCAGCTCGGCGGCGACGAGCGCGTAGAACTCCAGCGTGGGGCCCAGCCCCGTGCCCTCCTCGCCCGCGAACTCCACCTCCAGCACTGACTTGCGCCCCGCGTGCACGCGCATCACCTGCAATAATCATTCAATGCTCGCATCATTTTTTTTATAACAATCACTGATACCTATTTCATAAAATCAATGCGGGATCAACATAGGGAGACAAAAAATATAGTGTCAGAACTTAATGCCCAAGTCACGCTTTTGTCAATCAAAAGAGATGGGATTTTATCCGGAAAAAACCGCAATATGGGAAAAAAAATAGGGAAAGAACCCGGGGAAAAGTACCGATTAGAATAATATTCCGGTTTTTTAATTTGTGCGTAGGTAGATTATGTACACATCATATAATAGTACTATTTAAGTACTATTACTACAAGTTAGAGCAATCTAACTTTGTTTATTTTCATATTGCAATAATACAGTCTGTATATCCATAGGTACTATCTAATTTTAAATAAAATGAAATTAAACAAAAATGCTGTCTGCTTGTGTGTGTTTCTCCGCTCTTAGCGACAAGTAACCCAAAACTACGTGAACAGAAGGGCGGTGAAACAGGTAGTGCAGTATAACAATAACAAGTCCTCACCATATTAATTAATTGATTCCAAATCCTAAATTTGGTGAGTACTATACAATATTAAAAATACATACATTCTGCGTAAATGAAAAAGTTAAATATTGGAACAGACCGTGCAGACAATATGATTATAAACAGATCAAGAGAAACAATAAAAAAAACTAAATATCTATCACTGCTTAAAAATTGGGGGCTTAAGCACCTCTTTGCCGAGCTCACATTAGTTGTAAACGAATTGAAGTCATACTCCTTACAAACATTGTTAAAGTGTCTGCTTGCACGCACAATGTAACTGTTCTGCCTGTAGTTAGATGAGGAACGGGATACGTGTAAAGGTGGATTAAATCTAAATATTTTATTAGGTACATTAAATTTGATTTTTGATAATAGTTCTGGACTATCCATATTGCCGTTAAGAACCTTCAACAAGAATAGACAATCTGCAATGATGCGTAGATCTACCAATGGTAACAGATGGAATTTTCCCTGGGTAATTAAATAAATATATTCCCTTTAAGTTTTTTCCCAGTGCCCATCTCTAATCAAAACATACCTGCATAGCTGACCGCAACAGATCGGGTTGGCGCGGTATCCGCACTCGCTCATGTCTTAGTCGACCCATGCGGAAATCGGCCGCTTCCACCTCCGTGCGACGAGGCGACACAGTATTACCAGATCTAAAGTAAAAAAACCTCTCGTCTATGAACTATTTACGACACCACAGTTACTGACATAACTAGGAATTTAAGGTTACACTAGTCGATATATTTTCCATAGAAAGTTCGGGGTGGTATTACTCGACAGTGTGAATGTGTACCTACAAAATTAAACACGATATCGTTTTATCTTGTAATTACATTTGTCGGTACGGAAACAAAAAAAATAAAAAAAAAACTACTAAAAAGTTATGAGCCAACAAAGTTTTGTTTTTCTTTACAATTTTAACGCAACTTTGGGTGTTAAAAAATACCACTAATCGTGTAAAATCTCCAAACCGAAGACCGTACCGACTCAGCACAATTACCATAAAGTTCTATAAAATTTATTTGAAATTGATCTAAGCAGTGGTTTTTTCAAAAAACGCTATTTTCTAAAGCACTAAATCGTACTTTTTTACGCACTCGTTTTGTGATGGATTATCGTGCATTTCACTGGATAAAACTCCCCCGGCAGTGGCGCGGGGCGGAGGGAAGACGCACACGCGTTTTTGCACAATTTTTTGCACAATTATTATTTGCACGACACGCGCTGTCGTGCAATTGTCGTGATTTAGTGAAGTTGTTTTGGTTGATTGCATGACACTTGGAATTTCCAAGTGTCATTGGAAAATACATAATAAACAATGGGTAAGTCGTCCCTACAATTTATTATACCTTATCTAATTAGATTTTATTAGATACAGTTATCGGTTTAAATTAAATTTTGTGTAGAAACTGCTGATGGAATCCAGTTGAAAAAAACGCATAATTATTATTATCAGGTACAAGGCCAACTGATGGTAACTAAAAGAAAGTTTTGTTATTTTGTTGTTTGGACGCCAAATGGCATCGAAATAGATATAATTGAAAGAGATGATGAGTTTTGGACGCCAGACAAAATTTCTAAATTAGATATATTTTACCACCAATGTGTTTTGCCGGAGCTGATAGATCCGCGTTACCCTCGTAAATTACCATTTAGAGATAGATTTTAAGTCAATGTCAATAATTACGTTAAATAAATATTACGATTACCAATAAAGATTTTTCAGGTTCATTGTTTTTTTTTGTCTATAAATAAAAGCATAATAAATAAGTAAGTAACTAAAAGGGTGAACCCTTAGCAATTATACCCAGCCTTGCGGCGCTCTCCTGTGCTGCTAATACAGATACTATACCGGCATGAATATTGAGCGTTGACTCAGATTGCGCAGAAATCAAGTCTCTTTAGTAGTAGGTATTGTGAGAAGGATTGTTGCTACCTACAATTCTTCTCCCAAAAATCCTTTTACAGTGATTAGCTCGCCAATGTATACCTACCCACTTTGATGCCGAGCGCTCAAGATTCGAGCCGGTATCTCTACTTATGTTTGTGTCAGGGAGGTACCTAGTGCGCAGCTTTATGTTACGTTCCGAGCTGCCAAAAAGTCTGTAGGTACCTAACACGAAGTTGGAGTTAGGGACCTACCTACACGATGTAGGTATGAAGTCCACAAGTTTTGTTACGGACGAAATGACGAAAATCTAATTATGTGGTATTATCACTACTTCTAGTAATCTTAGGTAGTCACCGACGTACCTAACTAGGTAAGTATATATTTAATTTTATGAAAACATAATGACAGATCAATTGTCTCGAAATTCAGGAAATAATTCAGACCAGTAAGTACCTACCTAAATAGGTAGGTAGTTCCTGAGATTATTATGTTCAACCAAACAAACTATAATATTAGTTAAACATTATAACCTGATGAAAATATGACATTTGAACTGTATTATTTAGATAAAAGATGCATCTAGCTAGTTTGTAGTAGGTACATAAAGTTATTGGTACTTAGAAAAAAAAATATTATATAAAATTATATCCCTAGCCTTTCGTGGATTCTTCGGATCGGATGATAAGTTGATATCATAAAAAAATTGTCAGTAATTACAATGCCCTGTGACAATAATTATTAAATTCATGCGAGCATCATAAAATCGTAGCAGCGTGTACGACTTTACTACGAGTAAACACACACAGCACAGATATATGCACCGTTCAGTGACGTTTTGCTGTGTTTGTGTGCGTGCGAACAATACGTCGTGCAAATAGATAGCGTCTAACTGCTCATCACTGGTACTATCTCTGTCACACACGATGTTAGATGAGACAGCGCGCTTTTTGGCCACGCCCTTGATTGAGTTCGAGCCCGCGACTAGTTTAACCTTAA